TACGCAGCGCATGGGTATTAGTGTACCTCGGACTCAATGGAGGTAGCACAGGGGTATTAAGGCCAAGCCTGGCGCTGCGGTGAAACTTGATTGCGGCGTGCCCTGGAGCACCCATGGTGGAAGCTTCGTCCAAAGGGTGTCTGCCGCTCCCCACTGTCATCAATCCCCAAGATCTGCGTCACTGTCTGAAGCAAAGGGCCGGTCAAGGTCCATGGGGCTGCCAACCCAGCGGGCGCCGCCCGGTGCTGATGGGTCCCAGATGGCTCATATGGTCAGCGCAACGGAGACCACCTTGTATAGGGAAGGAGCAGCCGTGCCCAACTGCCCGAGATCATTGTTGTCAAGGAAGCACGCGCTGCGTTCCATGACGGGCCGAGTGGCAACTTGGAGAATAGACATGGTCCAATGAATCAGAAGTGGATTTGAGCCACAGGGAAGCTGCACGGACCACCTTCCACGAGAAGCAAGAAAGGGTGACGGAAGGGGTGGGAAGGGAGGGGGAGCAGGAAGCGCGCACAGCGAGAGGGCCGAGTCGAAGTGAACCGCGGTCTCCCAAGCGTGAGGGGAAGATGGCATGGAGCAACTTGGCTCCATGTTACCTCGGTCACTTGTGTCGGGAGTCCCATCCCCGAGGACGTTTGTCAGCGTAGTAGGTTTCCCCTCTCGGAGAAGACCGATTCCCCTTCGCCTTCCAGTCAGAGTCGGTCCATGCATCCTGCTGATGGTCCCACGCGTCCCATGACTGCCAGGCACGCCACGGCGCCGCTGATCCGGATGCTCCTGACCACGAAGCATCCCTGCCTTCAGTTGCCCATGGGGGGGTCTTTGCGACTTCCCTGCCTTCAGCGGCCCATGGGGGGGGGGGGCTGCTTCCGATGGGCATGTCGGCAGCGCGCACTCTGGGGTCGCGTTGCGTGAGTTTGCGATGCTTCTCCATGGCGGTTGGCCAGTCGACGTGGAGTTGGTATTCACTGTCCATCTTGTAGGCGTCGTACCCCATGTTGCTCCATGCCTGAAGGAACTCATCGCCTTGCTGTACAGTGTTTAGTCTGGGGTTGGACTTGATGTAGTTCCAACCTGATGCAGGCCTCCCTTGACTGAAGGCTGCCTTTCTGACCCCAGCGCTCCAGACCCCGTTGAACGCGCCACCCAGCGCCTTCTGCATCCATGTGATCTTATCGGGTAACGGTTCGTCCTTCGTGACGTCTGCCTCTTCGCTAGGTTTCAAATACATGGGGAGGCCTCCCATGGGGTCATCAGGGCGCGCTGGTGGTATCGCCGCAGTCTGCGCATGGTGCCGCGTGTCCTGAGCGCTGTGCCACGGTCTAGGATCGTTTCTCGGCGGTGTGGCAGAGCGATCTCTGGCACTGTTCTCATCTACGGTGGGAGCACGGTGGCCAGCTACGCCCCACGTCTGCCTGAACTTCCTGCCATCACTGCCTGCGTGGGATTCCTGCCATAAGTCGCTGGATGCTCCACGAACGGCCCGCGCGAATGGAGGCCAAGCTTCTGAATCAGCCCTGAGGGGAGGTTGGGACCAGAGCGGGGGGGGACAAGGGGCCTGCCTGTCGTCGGTGGGTGCTGGACCGTAGGCGTCATCTTCCTGATGGGCAGGGCTGGCCTGCGGTTCGGAGTCAGTCAAGAAATCCTGCGGGCTGGACCGTGTCTGGGCGTCCAGCTCAGATTTCTTGCCAGCTTCGTCACCCCAGTCGACCCCTTCCACGTTACCATCGCCATCCCATCGCTCTGATGAGGACGGCACCTCTTCTGGGGCTTCGCCGGGTTGGCCGGGCGCAGCAGGTTGCCGGGGTGGAGCGTCTGTGCGGGTCAGGGGGGCATCGTGATCACCAGCGTTGCGCTTGGTTGCGGGTGATTCCTGCCTCTGGGGCCTGCTGAGCCAGCTGGCGGCAGGGGAACCGCCTCGTGCCGTGCCTCTGTCGACCGCGTCCTGGGGCTGGGCAGCGAGGAGTTCGATCGTTCCTCTGGTCAAGGCAGTGTTCTCTAGCCTGGAGAGGAACAGCGTGAGGACGTGTAGTGGCTGTCGGTATGGGCCCTGCCCTTTCTGATTGTCAAGTTTGCCTGCGTAGCGCTCCCAGTCCTCCTGGTACTTTGGATTGCTCTCTGCCAGGTGTGCGACTACCCTGGCTGCCGCTGCCCTCTGCCCGCCCCATGGAATGCACGGGGGGCGGCAGTTACTTGGGATGTCTTCGCCGTGGATTGTCGCCAGAAAGGGGGGCAGCTGCTCGAAGGGCCAGTTCGTTTCGTCGGTAGCGTCGCCCTCTACGTCCCCCCCTGTAGCTGTGCAAGGGCGGCCCAGAGGGTGTAGACTGCGTGGCTCCACTCAATTAGGTACCTTACCAGAGCATGAACAGGGTCTCTCGACCCCCTCCCTACCAAACGGAGGGCGGAGTAAGTGGGCAGCGCGGGGGCGGGGGGAGGCGGCAGGTCGGGGAGGGGGTGCATGTTGGAGGCCCTGCCGACACAGCCTCCCTGCTTACCGGGCTCCTCGTAGGGCAGAGCCGAACGGCCCTCGCGGGGTGGGACGCGCGCGGTCGCGTCTACCCCTGGTGCCCTGTTACCTGGGGAGAGGTATGCGGCCATGTCGTAGCTGTAGCTGTCCTCGGGGGCTTCGGTTGTGGTCTGCCGTTTGGCGGGGATGGCAGGACAAACCTCGTTAGAGTAGTGGTCGAGTATGTGGTCGAGGACGCCAGGGGCAACGTTCCAGATGTGGACAAGACACCTCCTGCAGGCCCATTCTGCGTTCCACTGCTGCCTGATGCATAGGGAGGGCATTAATTCCCACGGCGGCAGGCCTGTCTGCTCGCTGCAGCCTGTCTCAGCCTCGGGGCGCCGCATGAAGCATCCGAGAGCTGGATGGCTGGGCTTCCATTCCAACAAGGGGGAACCGGGGGGACAGGTGTCGCACATGGCTGAGTACATTTTGGTGTGGTGCGTTTCAGCACCAAACCTGCCATCGGCAAGCCTGTGGGGTGGGGGGGTGGTACCGACACTGGCTGGCTGGAAGGCGCGTGGCGCACGCATGACCATGTCCTTCAGGGTGGAAGGAGTTAGAGCGTCGTTAGGGCGACCGAACCCCAGCGGGAGACTGGAGAGAGATGGGAGGGTCCGGGCTTTCTTGCGTGCGCGATTTTCCTCCAGCCTGCGCTTATACTCATGAAGGCGCTGCTGCATAGCCTTCTTGGTACCGCCATCGACCTGATTGGGGTCGGGGGCCGCGATTCCCTTTCTCTCCAGGGACCTGACCCAGCACAACTCGCAGAACCATCTGCAGTTCTTTCCCTTCATGTAAGCCTGTACGCGGATCTGCGCTAGCAGCTCACGGGTATCGTCATCCTCCCAGGTGCCAGCTGCGCCCTGCAACCCCGCGGCGGTGCAGTCGACGCAGCTGAAGCTGGCACTCTGCTGCAGCCTGCAGAAACGCTCGTCGCGCACTACAGGGGGGAAAAGCGCTGTACCAGGGGCTGGGGAGGCAGGGATGTCATCGTCCAGGCGGTGGTTGGACATGGCGACCCCGCCTCCTATGTATACCGGGTCTGCCATGGTGCGCGGGCTGCCGAGCCCGTCTTCCGAACCGATCAGCTCTTTATGCAGCTGGCAGATGGAGCAGTCCCCTCTGCTTAGTGGCCGGACGTCAGCGGGATGGACTATCACTTCCAGCACTCGCATGGGGGCCTCAAGGGTGAAGTCGTGCTTCTGCATTCCTGCCCATGTCTGGGGGCAGTTGTGAGTAGCCGCGGTAGGGCGGTGATGGGCGAAGGTGGCCAGCGCGCCAATGTGTCGCATGACCCGCGCCAACTTTAGCGTGGAGGGAGGCAAAATTGGCTAGCTCGAAGCCCCATGCGGCAGCGAACTGGCTGCGGAACTCATTGTGAGCTTCCTGCCATGGGAGGCAGAGGCCCATCGCCGCTTCTATGATGTCACCTGTGGCTTCTGGATGCGGGAATGGCCAGAGTGTTGCGCGCGGTTCCCGCAATTGAAGCATCATCACCACCAGGGGGGCCCTGTGTGTAGGGGGTGCTGAATGGGCGTCCGTCGCTGCCGCGCAGGTCGTGCGTGAGTGTCGAATCGAGCTGCTCCGGGCGGAGCAATGCGTGCAAGTGCTCCATTCTGTGATTGGCCGGGGCGCCAGGCAGCAACGGATGACGATGCCGCTCGGCCCGGGCCAGATCGTTTTTCTCTGCTCGGAGGTCCCTGAACTCCGGGCGTCTTGAGCCAACGTGGGTGCGGCGCTTTGACCTCACCCCTCTCCGCATGACAGTGCACATGCTGCTGCACAACATCATGGGAGGATGCATGAGACGACGAGAAAGCCGGAGTCCAGCCACACTCGCCGCATCGCACGTCCTCGGGGCCAGAACCGAGAGGCGGCCAGAATCCAGCCACACCCCCGGTTCCGAGATTCAGGACTGCTACGCCATCGGACCTGTTACTTGCATAAGGTAGCCCGTCTCCATAAACAGGGATACTCCGACAGGCCCGGCCGACCAGCCGGACAGTTCGAATTTCGGCTCCAGGGCGGGCGAGGGTAGCCCGTCTCCATAAACAAGGATACTCCGACGGGCCCGGCCGACCAGCCGGAAAGTTCGAATTTCGGCTCCAGGGCAGTTCGAAGTTCGGCTCCAAACTACGCCATGCTCTACTACACTGCTGCACTGTGGCAGAGCCACCATCCCCACCCAGTGCTTGCACGGACTGTTCGGGGACCACGAATTGAAGAGGAAACTAATTACATATAACATTTGGTATGTACATACAAGGCCTATTGAAAAAATGTAGTGGTAATCATTTCACCGCTTGGTGAGGTAATGAACGCCTCAGGTGCCAGACAGAAATTGCTGCAGTATCTGTGGCATCATATCACACCCCCCTTGGCCATGTCGCTCAGAACCTCCTCGGCCCGAGCTCAGGCCGCAGGCCGCAAGTGCGAGAAGACGAACATCTCATCGTGGGTTGCTGGCCCTCAGCGCTCGGCGGCGCGCCTCAGGCCGATGCGCACCCTCGCCTCGGCAAAGGGCGCGGGGTTGAGGGACTTGGTGAAGAAGTCGCCCTCAGACGCTTAGAATATCCTTTCTTGATGGCCTGTATCGCTTGCGTGTTCTCGACACGGCAACCGACAGGAACGAGGACGCCTAGCATGTCCGAGATCAGCGTCTGCACCGGCAGAGCGCAATGCCGCGCCGCCGAGCTCATGCTGACGGTCTCGGACTCGGCACTGCTACTGCTGGTCGCTGTTTGGCGCGACACCTTCCACGCCAGTGGGAAGCAGTTCCCCGACTCGATGCCCACCAGTTCACAATACAAGCCGCTTGTGCTCTTGGTCGTGGTGCTGTCTCCGTTCCAATCGGCGTCGGGCCATATTCGAACTGCCAAATGCTCAAGGTCACTTGGGCTAAGCTGGCCAACCAGCTCAAGATCATGATGCTCCGCCACATACGACATGAAGCGAATCAACGCCACATCCTCTGTAACAGTCCATCTTGTCACCCGACTGCACATCCTCTGGATTGCAACCGACAAATCTGGCCGGCATACCAGTGAGGCATACAGGCCCGAGGCGACGGAGCTAGCGGCCGACGCCTGGAACACGCCTGGCTCGTCGTCCGCCGCGTTGTAATCGCCATCTGTGGGGTGCGGCGTGGTCGCCTTCCGCAGCGCCCCTTTGAACTCCAGCCTGAACTTGTCCACCAGGTTGCGGAGGTACCCGCTCATGCTGGTGGCGACTGTTCGGACCTTCAGCGGCTCCGCGGGGTCTGCGCAGGCAAAATGGTAAAGGGCGCCCGGGTAGCGCAGCACCTCCGCGTACGCCTCCTGGAACACAATGTGCTGCCCGAGCTCGTACCAGTGCTTCTTGGCGTTCGTCGACGTTGCCGCGAGCTAGAAATCGTCCACGTAGATCACCATAATGCTGCCATCGGTGTGCAGCCAGATGCTGTGCCAACCCTCGACCTTCCTCCATCCGGTCATCTCCACGATGAGAACGGCGTCCGTGTGTGACTCCCAAATATTCCCACTCTTGGGATGTCCTGGAAGCGCGTACACCAGGGGGACAGCTGGTCGATGGTACTTTGGCTGCTTGCGCTCACGATCGTAAAACCAGCTGTCTGGCCACCAGTCCTTGGGGAGCTCAACAAGGTTCATGATGGCTGGGTCGGTCTCCATCGCTGCCTGGAGGTATGCCTGGTACGCGTCGCGGTAGGTGCAACTCATGTTGGTCAGCATCGCCACGGCAAATGCGCACCTGGCCGCAATCAGGCTCGCAGGGCTGTTGGAAACATCTTCAAAGATTTCGTATGCACTCCGACCCGTTCTGGTCCATATGTTGTTTCCTTGGAAGACCGCCCTGGCTCTGTGACGCCATTGGTCCTCGGCCATCTCGCTGTTCATGCAGCCCAGGATGACGAAGACGCGGCCTACAACGACGTCACTGTACGAGCCGTCGGCCATCCAGTCGCTCAGGCTGCGGACCTTGCTCATGTCCCAGGTGCCTCTGTTTCGGTGCCCCTCGAGCTCCGCCTCAATCGCCGCCTTGGCCTTGTCAGTCTTAGCCTCCTGCGACCTCATGTTTACGAGCCTAGCAATGAGGAAACACCACGACGGCAGTGAAGGAGGGCCTGGAGGCAGCACGCGCTCCATGATGCGCTCCGGGAGCGTGCATGGCATCGCCTTGAGAGTACTTGGTTTCAGAGCCTTCCAGATCAGATTCGCCATCATCGGCGTGTATCTGGCGCTGGCAGCCGCAATCTTGCCGCGGCACTCTACGAAGCTCTGCTCTTGGATGCTATTGGGAGGGTCGGAGTAAAGCGCTAGTTCGATAGGGATCCCAGAGTGTGTCGTAGCGATCCTCCACCTCTGCTTGATGAAGACTTGCTGCGTCGTGCCCTGGATGCTCCTGTCGAAAGACATCCCCACGGCAGCGGTGGAGACGTAAAAATCAACGGCCCCCCGTCGAGTCGAGTCAGCATGTCAACAACCCTCGGGTCCTGCACCAGCCAATCTCGTTCTGCGCACTCCCACAGAAACGTGTTGTCCGTCCTGCTCACGTGCTCGCAAATCTGGATGGCTGCATCGATGAGCTGGCTGTTGAGGCTCTCGTCCCTGGTGGTCGCACTCGGGGTCGTGCTGGTGAACCTCTGGGGGCACCCAGACATGCACGGGATACTGATCCAAGCGTGCACCTCCACCTCGTGAAGGACGCAAAACCTGATCAAGCCATGAATCGCACGCTTTGTTGACTTCAGTAATAAGTCATCCCTGGCGGTGATGCGCACCGCAAGGCACTGCTCCTGGACGGCTGCGCTGAGTCCGATGTCCGCGGAGCATCCCAACTCCAACAAGAGGAAGCAGTAGTCGCCCGTGACGATCATGCTGCGAGCCTGCTGGGCGAGGTGCGTCGCTGACGGGCGCAGCGCCATCGCAGGGCATGCTGGCTGAGGAATCCGATCGCTCAGCTCGAGGGTCGCGGTGTCCTTCCCCGCGTCGCTCCCTGGCGGCCTGGGGCACTCGGCAATCGGAGTTATACCTCTCGCGACTGCTGCCAGGGGAGTGGCCAGTGCAAGAACGCACTTTCGTTTGGCCTGTAACCAAGCAGACCGTCTGGCTTCCTGCGCCGCGAAGCCCGGAGCATCGACTCGCCCCCACTCTGCGCGGAGCTCCTTCTGAGCAGCTCGCCCGATGCCAAGCCACGCCTCGGGTTCGCATGTTGGCGGGCGCGGTGACCAGGGCGGCACGTGTACCAGGCGGACTCTGTCGCCGCGCCCGAACCTGTCGACCCGCCAGCCCGGGGGAGCAGTTCCCCCCTCGACGATCGCGATCTCAGGCTGGATGTCGTCGACGGCCTTCTGAGCCTCCACCACGTCGGCGTCCACTGGCTTGAAGTCGCCAGCCGGCGCAACGACCTCAAGCTGCACCTCGTCGCCGTGGGTATCGGGCTCCAGAGCCAGCACGTGGCCCAGAGGCACGCTCGAGTCGAACTTGGCGGCGTTCTCCTTCCCCATCCCGTCGAAAAACTCCGCCTCCGTGTCGACGTCGCCCTTCTCCTCCAGGATCTCACAGGAACCGCTGTCGTCAAAGGCGCGGGGCATCGGCAGCGTCTTGTCGACCACGGCTCCGTGGATCGCCAGGCGCTGCTTGATGGGGAACGTGACGTCCTCTGGGAACACCACGTCGACCGTCCTTCGGATGGCCGCCTTGGAGGCTCGACTTTCCGAGGTGAACCTCAACAGAGGGACGACCCCGTAGCTGGATGCCCATCTCCCCCCTGGCCCGATGGTGACCTCGATCAGCACGGCGGGCACGAGCCGCGACTGCAGCTTGTCATGCTGCGGTTCCGCTCCCTGCTGCGGCACTGGCCGGTGCGGGTGGAACAGCACGAGGGCGCCGAAGGCGTACTGCTTGTACGGTGCAGGCGTGCCGTGCCTCCTGAGGTACGGGGTCACGCCGTCCTTCCCGATCATGAGCCCGTTCCACATGGCGACCCAGAAGAGCAGCGCCATCGCCCGCCACGCCTCTTCGAGGCCTGACTGGATGAGCAAGGCCCTCGTGCCCTCCGACGCTGTCCGATTCGTTCTTTCCGCCGTCGGGGCGTGCCGCCACGGCGCGGACGTGAAGTGCGCCAGAGGTTGCAGTGACCGCACCTGACGAGATGCGGCCAGGAACTCAGCTGCTCGATCAGACCACCACCTCCGAATGGTAGGGGGCACCTCGTCGTGCCGATGGATCAGCTCCACCACCACGCTGGCCTCCTTGGAGTTCGAGGGCCCAGCGCCGAGAAACATGGTGAGGTCGTCCGTAAGCATCAACGCGCGCTGCGCCGTCTTGAAGGCCTGGGCGCCACGGCGGATCTCCAGCCAGTCGATGTGCAGCATCGCCCCGAACGGCCTGTCGATGGCATCCTGGCCAGTGACGTGCACCATGGGCTCCGAGCGCCGGAGCTTATACTTATGCAGGTGCTTCGCGTCGTCGCAAATCGGGCGCCCCTTCATGCGGGGCAGGTGCATGCTCTGGTGCTCGGGTGCGCGCGCGCCTGGGCACGGACTGCAGTAGTCCTGCTCCTCGTCCTTGGCGTCAACCTGCGAGACCTCGAACTTGGAGTCGTTGGCGATGATGTCGGCCACGACGTCGTGCTCCGTCCTGTCGGCCATGTCCAACACTCTCTGGACGTCTGCCAGGAGAGTCCGCTCGGAGTCATCTGCTGCGCCAGGCTCTTCTGGTATCGGTGGGATGCTGGGCTCGATGTTGACGACGCTCTCCTGCCGCCGCTCGAGGTCGGGCGCGGCCGGCGCGAGCGCCGCAGCTGCCACTGCGATCACGTTTCGTCCTCGCCCAGGCCGTCGACAGCGAACGAACGGCACGAAATTCTCGTCCACCTCGACCTCGCATGGCACCCCGGACGGCGAGATGAAGGATGGCTTTTCCGCGTAGGGCAACCAATAGAAGCCGAAGCCCATCTCCGCGCAACGTCGCCCAAGTGCCAAGGCATTGGGCGTGTCTGGGAGAACATGCGCCGTGATCGTTTCACCGATGGGCGCGAGGTCGGTAGTGACGGTCTCGATCGAGCCGAAAATCCCCCCTGCTGACCACATGGCCGTGGCGACGTCCGACTTGCCCTTGGAGCCGGCGACCCTGGGATTGGCTACGTCGAGGGCGGCTGCCGTGTCGAGGGCCCACTCGTCGTACGCAGACGCCCGGATATTGCAGATCATCTGCTTCTTGGGCGTCTCCGCGGCAGCTCCAGACCCCGTGGCGCTCGTTGGCATCTTGGCGGGGGCCCCAAGCTCAATCGCCTTGGTGTCGCCTTTTGTCGGCGGCGTGGAGTAGCGCCTGAAGATGCAGTCCTGGCCGTACCGGCAAGTGTTGCCTCTCTTGACGTGGTGGCACAATGCTGGAATGCGCTCCTTGGGCTGCTCTGCCGAGGCCTTGGCCTTCGGCGCTGGCTTGGCCTTGACATCGGCCTTGGCTTTCGCCTTGGCCTTTGCTACCTCAGGCCCCGCGTGCGCGTACTTGCAGGCGTCGCCCTTGACGCAAGTACCAGCAACGAACTTCCTGCACACGTCCTTCGACTTGGCAGCGGCGTCTCCAGCGCCCTCGACGACATTGTCACCCTTGCCTGCGCCCTTCGGCTTCACTGGCGTTACTTTGGGCGCCGGCTTCAGGAGGGAATCTAAGACGTCCTGCATCTCCTTGCGCCTGACGTAGTCCCTCGCCCGGTCGTACAGGAACTGCGCGGTCTTGTCCGTCGAGCCCTCGTCGGCGCGGTCGTAGAGCTCGAAATCAAATGCCAAAGGCTTGCACTTCCGCAGCTGCGGCACGACAACAGCATGGAGAAGAGCTTCGTCTGGTGGATCGCGAAGATGCTCAAGTATGGCATCGAGGCCGTCGAGGTTCAGGCTGAGGTCACCCTGGAACTCGTGCTTCATCAACGTCGTAAGGTCGACCTGAGTAGCGGCGCCTCGCTCGAGGACGCATTTGCGGATAGCATGCCAGAAGGCCCACCGCCCTGACGGAGGGGCCCCTTGCTTGTAGCACTGCTCCCGGTACGTCGTCAGCTTGCGCTTCTGCCGAGAAGAGCTCGGCGTCGAATTGTTGCCACTTCCTTGGCACGCTCAGCAGCACTGCTGGGTCGGCGCAGCCCTCCGCGCCCTTGATGTACCTGATTGTGCGTTGCTGTGACCTGTTGGACGCCGCCGTGCACTTGGTGTACACGTCCGCAAGCCAACTGCGAAAACCAGCAGGCGTGGGCGGCGAACCCAGGTCGATGGGCTTCACCACCGTCCGTTTCCGGGCGAACTCCTCGCCCGAAGACTCCTTGGATGAATGCAGGTCGACGCCAGCGTGGCCAGCGGCGCTGCCATCCCGCTGTGGACTTGTAGCGCCCACAGTGGCCACTGGTACCGCGCCTGCGGGGGGCTCGGTGCTGGGCCGCATCCGCAAGGGCGGCCCAGGCAACGGCGGCATGATGACGGTCGCGCGAGCCCCCGCCGCACATGCCAGGGCCCCGCTGGCTTGTGGAAAGCCCGGGGCGGCTGTCGCCAGCGACTGCGGCGGCGCCGTCGCCAGGCGCGGCGGCGGCTGCCACTGAGCTGCCATCGGCGCTGGAGGGAGCAGATCTCGGAGTACAGCCTGGCGTAGCTCGTCGCGGCAGGCCTCTGCCTCGGCTCTCCAGCTGTGGAGCTCAGACTGCGCGTCCTGCATCTCGATGATCGCCTCGTCCTCCGCGTTCATGACCTCGCGAAGCCGCTCGTCACTGGCAGCCACCAGCTCCGCAGCCCACTGGTCTACCTCACGCTGCGTCGCGTCGCGGTCGCGACGGCCTCCTGGTTGGCCGCCTGCCGAGCCGCCGCAGTCGCCTGCTCGCTGGCGTGGCGCACTTCAGAGCGCCACCGCGCGTCATGATCACGGACCTCCTGCCGTAGGGCACGGTCGTGGTCTGCCAGTTCGCTGCGGAGCGCTCGTTCTCGATCGCTCGCCTCTGATTCGACGAACTCGACGCGCCTCTCTTCCCTCGCCGAGGCGAGGTGGAGAGACCTCTCGCTCGACCTCGCCGCCGTTACGGCGCGCCGCTCCATGCTGGCGAGCTCCTCTGACTCCAGCCGGAGTCGTGCCGCCATCGCTTGGTGTTCGCCGCCGATGTGGGCCTCGGCCTTCAACAGCTCTGCGTGGCCGTGTGTCCTCATGCTCTCCGCTAGGGTTGGTACTTGTCCTGGTACTGCCGCTGCATGTCCTCCACGCGTTGAGCGAAGACCCCTTCGAAGTAATTTTGGACTTGGTTGACGCCGTTCTGCATGGCCTCGCGCTGGTCCGCCGCGCACTGCTGCACCAGGAACGCCTCGTACTGCTGCATCTCGGTGCGGGCGCCCGCCACGAACTGCGCCTCGTTGTAGCTCGTGATGGCCTGGGATTCGGCCATGAACTGGCTCTGCTGGGCCCGCTGGGCCACCGGCGCCGCACCCAACTCGTGCTGGGCACGGGCGCGTTCGTCAGCAACGCTCTCGGCAAGCGCCTGCTCCTGCGCCTGGACCGCCAAGCGCACTGTGGCAGCTGCAGCCTCCTGCAGCCGTTCCTCGTAGGCCGCGACGCTACTCTCTATCTCCGTCTCGAAGTCCACTATATCATATTCAATCATCCTGGAAAGATCCATCGGCAAATCAAGCTCGTCACACGGCACAGCGGCAGCATCCTGGCCTGGCTGCGGCTGCGCTGCTTGCGGCGGCAAGCCCAGACCAGCTGGCGCCGGCGCTGACGTTGCCAGCGCGGGGATCGCCGTCAAGGCGCCCAATGGCGGCAGCCGGAGGGCGGCGGGAGCGGCCACCCCCCCGACGCTGGCGGTCGCCTGCAGGTGGCCTTCAAATCCACTCGGTCTTCCGAGAGGGAGTGGCGCTGTTGTCGTCTGCGGCGCCAGCTGTTGCCCCTGGCTCGGCTGCAGGCCGGGGCCTGAGGGCGCCAACTGGGAGGGTTCTGGGAGCGATCGCTGGCCACGATGCTCGCCGCCAGCCCCGCTTCCAGCGGGGCTGGATCGTTCCACGACATCGCTGACGTGGTTCGTCACGTGCTGCTCCTGCCTAGCCGCCAGCGCCGCCTCAGCGCCAGCGGCGGAGGCGCCGGTGCGCTCGCGCTGCTGAGCGCGCTTCGGCGCGCGGTCCAGCCTCGCCTCAGGACCGCGCTTGTGTGGCATCCAAGGCTCTTAACCTGTGATTGGCTGGGGCGCCAGGCAGCAACGGATGATGATGCCGCTCGGCCCGGGCCAGATCGTTTTTCTCTGCTCGGAGGTCCCTGAACTCCAGGCGTCTTGAGCCAACGTGGGTACGGCGCTTTGACCTCACCCCTCTCCGCATGACAGTGCACATGCTGCTGCACAACATCATGGGAGGATGCATGAGACGACGAGGCAGCCGGAGTCCAGCCACACTCGCCGCATCGCACGTCCTCGGGACCAGAACCGAGAGGCGGCCAGAATCCAGCCATACCCCTGGTTCCGAGATTCAGGACTGCTACGCCATCGGACCTGTTACTTGCATAAGGTAGCCCGTCTCCATATACAGGGATACTCCGACAGGCCCTGCCGACCAGCCGGAAAGTTCGAATTTCGGCTCCAGGGCGGGCGAAGGTAGCCCGTCTCCATAAACAAGGATACTCCGACAGGCCCGGCCGACCAGCCGGAAAGTTCGAATTTCGGCTCCAGGGCAGTTCGAAGTTCGGCTCCAAACTACGCCATGCTCTGCTACACTGCTGCACTGTGGCAGAGCCACCATCCCCACCCAGTGCTTGCACGGACTGTTCGGGGACCACGAATTGAGGAGGAAACTAATTACTTATAACATCTGGTATGTACATACAAGGCCTACTGAAAAATGCATTGGTAATCATTGCGCCGCTTGGTGAGGTGATGAACGCCTCAGGTGCCAGACAGAAATTGCTGCAGTATCTGTGGCATCAGTTCACACCATTCCAGGGTGTACCCTGTGGCGTTTGCAGTCGCACGTGGCAGGGCTCCAGGCAGCGGGGAACTGCGGGAGCGCGCCAACGGGAGTGCACCGGCTCGAGGGTTTGGGGCGGCGGTCGTTGCCAACAGCGTGGGGCTAAGGGGGAAGAGAGGTGAGCGGAACACTCAGTTGCGTCTCGTGCCATAGGGTACCCAACCCTAGGAACCAGACCAGGGCTGCCCATGTCAGATTGTATACCAGGTTGCTGGCGTCGATTTCAAGTTCCACGTCCACGCAGTACCCAAGGTGGCTCCAGGCCTTCAGATCGAAGCTGCCCTGCTGCCTCGGGGCGGCACCCATGGACCACTGGTGGGGGTGGAGCCCGGCCACGGTGTAGAGGATGACTCCAATTGCAGGGTCGTCGACTAGCTTCTGCATGCTGTCTGCGATGGCTTCACCGCGCTTGTCCCAAGAGAACAGGGGGTCGAGCGGGGCGGCGATGCGCTCTGCAAAACTGTTACCCATGGAGGTCTTGGCTTTCTTGATGGCGTCGTCCAGGCCTTTGATGCTATCGTCCCCGGTGTGGGTGGGGGCATCGGGTACCCACGTGGTGAGGTCCTTGATGGGGTCAAGCTCTTCGTCGGTCTGCAGCCTTAATCTAGTGCCCAGATCGTCTCCTTTGAAGCGGACCCATAGTTTCGCAAACCTCCCGTACTCTGATTGCTCACGCAGGCGAGCCCCCGTGGCTGTGCCGAACATCCTTCCGTCTCCGATGATGACTACGTTCGTGGTGGCGCGCGTGATGGCGACGTTCACCCTATTGGAGTTGTCCATGAAGCCCCAATCGTGCCATCTGTTGGACCGGGTCGTCAGGTATATGACTAGATCAGCTTCACCGCCCTGACTGGAGTCGATGGTGGAGATGGTGGGTTCACCGCTGGCGAGGTGCTCCTCTGCAATTTGTCGCAACCAAGGGAAACGCTGATCGATCCCGGTGAGGGGGGAGCTCCACTGTGCGAACACGCTCGCGTGGTCGTCTGTGTCGTCGACGTGCTCAAGGGGATGCGCGGAATGTCAGCTAGTCTTGGCTGGCCACGCCTAGCCCTTCCCTTTGTCCTTGGCCCTGGAGGGCGCCGCCGATGCTTCGCCCAGACTGGGGCCACCCGTTCTCGAGGACTGCACATTGCAGCTGATAACCCACCACGACGCGCACGGTTGCGCCGTTCCTCATGGCGGGCAGGAGCGCACGCACGATGTCCACCGTCTGCGCAGCCTCTGGTAGGTTCGCATATCCTGAGCGAAGGCACGAGGTGACCTCGAGGGGGGGGTTGTCGACCAGAAGGAAACGGTGCCTTTCATCGGGAGGTTGGGGCTTCGGCGCAAGGCCCCGCGGCATTTTCCCCAAGTCCTCCGGGGGAGTGGCCGTGGCATCCGCGAGGGCCTCGTGCCTCTTGTTGCCCCGGGGCAGTAACTCCCGCCATGGTAATCCTTCGACCAGTGGCCTTTGTGCGAGCGGGTCCGTGAGCCCCGTCCGTATTGTGTTATTGTAGAAGGCAACATTGGGCCAGGACAGAAGTAGGGGGCGCATGTGATAGCAGAGGCTTAGTTGCACCACGGCTGATCCCAGGGAATTGAGCAGTCGGTCGAATATGGAGAGGCAGAGACCGAGGTCGGCGGCCTTCCTGGAGAGGACGGTGGGGGGAAAGTGTTCGGGGTCGCCCACCAGCACCAGGTGTCCGCCGGAGCGGATGACACTGTCGAGCGACATGGCTGCCATCAGCTCGTGGGCCTGTCCTGCCTCATCGACGATGAGCAGGGCTACAGGTGCTGCGTTCCTGAGGGCCTCCGCAGACTCGTGTGTCGCAATGATCGTCTTGGCCTCTCTAAGCAGCTGCGCACGGAATGCAGCGAACTCCTTGGAAGACCCCCCTTGGTGTGGGGGGCGATTGTGCGTTCTGTAGAAATGCCCGCCCGGTGCGAGAGGGGCAAGCCTCTGCGCCGCCCGGAATTCTTTGGCCAGTCGGACGCGCCTGTTGGGGAAGCCTGTCCTATGCCCCAGTCTGCCCGCCTCGCGCGCACTTCCACGGCCGATGGCGGGCTGATCCGCCGCTGCGTTGGACCCTGCGGTTAATGCAACTGCCTGTCCTTCTGGGAGCGAGCCGGACCACGTGTCCATGGTTGCGACGGAGAAGACTGTCTGGCCAGCGCCGGGGGGGCCATGCACAACTGTCACGTGGTGCTGTATGGTAGCAGCGAGGGCCCGCGTCGCATCGTCATTGAGCCGGTGTCGCTTGGCGCCGTCGTTAAGGGTCGTCGCTGGGGGGAGGTCTCTGACTCGCTGAAATACCTGCCCATTCGCGCTGTCCACTTCTTCATCGGAGAAGGGAGCGTCTGGGGGCGCCTCATTCGGCAGATGCGGGTCGGCGGCGCTGCTGTTCGCCACTGTGGGGGGGGGTGCCAGGCGCCTGGGCCCTGATGGTGGCTCTTGCCGGTGAGAGGAGGGCGTTGCCGCAGGACCTGGTGCTCTCCACGTCGTTGGCTAGCGTCCTGTTCTTTCTGTCGGTAGCGCGGAAGGTGCGGAGATATGCGATGGCGTCAAGTGGCGTGCCCGCAAGGTCGACAGGGTTCTGCTGCAGCTTGTAGATTTCGCTGATGGCGGCGGAGATCCAGCAATACTGAAGCCCGGGAGGTGCTTTGTCCAGCCTGTACCAGCCGTCTCCCACCTTGTCTGGCTTGGGGTGCGTACCGTCGGGGTGGAACGTCCCAAACAAGTCTATATCGTGTATGGCCAACGCTTGGTTGGTGAGGGACTTGGCACCCTGTCGGAGCCCCAGGGCATCGCAGTCGTGGGACGGGATGGTGCCTCCGAAGTCAGGGGGCCAGAGAAGTTCGAGCGAGGCGATCTGATCCACGGTTGGGCTGGTGATGCTGAGGAGCAGCGTGCGGGCTTCCTGTCTGGCCTCCTGTCCTCTCAGTAGAATCTTGAACTTCCGTGGCCATTGAAGGTGCAACAGCAGTTTTCCCTCCTGGGTGGGAAATGCATTGCGTAGCTTGCACTTGTCGAGGAGTATGCTGGGGGTCTGCTCGTCGATCGTGGTGACGGACACGGCTAGCGCGCAGCTCTGTCTTCTGACCAGGTCCGCCCTGGCTTTGGCGGGGCCGTCCCATGCAATTTCAGTGGCCGCCATGCACTCGGCCCAGGCCAGTCTGTCGAGGGCGTTTCCTCTTTGTCGTAGGTCCTGCTCCCAGTGCTT